GGCAGTGCAGGACGAAGGCTGCGAGGAGGAGCAGCACGGCTGGATTGGAAGAGGTTCCTCGAACATGCAGCTCGAACCCGAGTGCGTGTGCGTCTTGTGCACGCGCTCTCTCTCTCTCTCTCTCCCCTTCTATCTCTCTCTCTCTCTCTCCTTTGTGCGGCCTACCTCACAGCCATCAAATACAATGCTGTTATCCAATTTGCTGCTGTTCCGCGCTTGAAAACATATATTCCCAATATTGCATCTTTTGTGCTGTACTTGTTGCTTGCTTCCCTCATGCGGAACTGGTATCCATACCCCAACGCATCGTCCCTGAGTGCCCCACCCACACCCTGGCAGTGTGCCAATGCCACGCAAGAAGACCTTAATTCCACTCCCCCATATGACACATGATCTATTTCCCGCGAGTCTGTACGATAAACCGAACTCTCTACTCGGGCCACTGCTCAGATGGCCAACTGCTGCTGATTCGCTTCTATGGCTGTATTGCCATCCTGACTGCACGAACTGTCAAAATAATTCCACTGTGGACCCCAGGCCATGAATTAGTCCACTCCGCCAACCTCCCGCTGCCAGGGGTGACAAGGTATGTGAGACATTTGGCTGCCCCCCTCCTCCTGTCGCCTTCAACTGGGGTCTGAGATCCAGTTCTGGAGGGGGGGCCGGGTATGCGACATTTGGCTGTCCCCCTCTTCCTGTCGCCTTCCCCTGGGGTCAGAGATCCAATTCTGGAGGGGGGGCGGGTGAGAGGTCCCGGGTCGATGAGCTGACCAAGGCTCAAGAAGGGCTCCAGAGCGCCTGAGAGCCCTGCAAAACACCCAAGATGGCCTCAGGATCAAAGATACCCAAAGGGGGCCCCACGAGGACCCATCAGACGGCCTCAAGAAGTCAAACATATGTGGATTCATTCGAACGCTGTTGGAATACTTTTTGAAGTTCTGAAGATCAGAGATCTCTAAGACCAGCCCAAGGCTCCCGCAGATGCCCTCACGAGGGCCCAGAGCTGGCCGAAGAGAGCCCCAAAACTGGCCAAAAAGGCCTCCGAGACTGCCACAACGACCCCTCGCAGGGGGCCCGGGAGCCCTTCCCCACAAGATGGCCCCCCAGACGCCCAGCATGCCCCGCCAAGAAGGCCCCAGAGGCCCCCTTCCGAAGCCCACAGGAGCCATTAGAAAACTCCCCAGATGCCGCCCCTGAAGCCTCGAACGGGCACTCAAGGGGACCCGCAACAGACGCGAAGGAACGCGAAGACCAATCAGCAACAACTACACCCAGGCAGCACGAGGAGACGGTGACGGGCGGCAAGAACGACGGCGGCAGCGACGACACATGGGCACCTTCCTCCTCCTCCTCCTCCTCCTCCTCCTCCTCCTCCTCCTCCTCCTCCTCCTCCTCCTCCCCTCCCCTGCTCTCCTCCACCCCTCCCTCTCCTTCAACTTCGCTTTCTTCCTCGTCGTCGTCGTCGTCCTCCTCCTCCTCCTCCCTTTGCTCGCGGTGTCCCTCCTCTTCCCCCCCTTCTCCTCCTCCTCCTCCTCCTCCTCCTCCTCCTCCTCCTCCTCCTCCTCCTCCCATTTCCCTCGCCCTTCTCATCCTCCTCGCTCCTCGCTGCTCCTCCCTCTTCGCTCCTCGCCCTGCCCCACTCCTCCTCCTCCTCCTCCTCCTCCTCCTCCTCCTCCTCCTCCTCCTTCCTCATCATCTCCTCCTTTTGCCTCCTCTCCCCCCCTCTTCCTTCTTCTCATCCTCCCCTGTTCCCGCTCCTCTTCCGCCTCCATCCCTCGCCTCTTCCAGCGCGGCAGAAGGCGCGGGGGCCTAGCCGAAGAGCGCAATGCGGCTGCCCTGCGCGGCGCGCTTGTGCGCCCGTCGCCCCCCCCCCCGCGCCTCGGACGACGACGACGACGGACGATGACGGACGACGACGACGACGACGACGACGACGACGGCGACGGCGACGGCGACGGACGACGACGACGACGAGACGTTTCGAGGACAAGGGCGACCACGAGGTTCGAGCCTTCAAGCATTTCGGCCTCTGGAGGCCCGTACGTGGCGCCTCTCAGAACTCGATCCGGAATGGGGCACGGGCCATGATGGACCTCGGGAGTGGCCAAAGGCTTGATCTTGAGCGGAAGCCTCCCCGTCCTGCCGTGACATCCCGCCGCAGCGGAAGCCGCCGTCGAAACCGCCGTCGTCACCGCTGCCGTCGTCGGCTGCGCGCGAACGCGGGGCCGCTGGCGGCGGGCGCGCCGAGGCGAGCGCGCTCCGCCCCGCCTGGTGCAGCGGGCTGGGAGAGCGGCCGCCTGGGAGTCGCGGGGGGGCGAAAAGAAGAAATACACAATGGCGTGGACGTATATTTGTTCGGATGTCGGCGCGGCATTTTTGGATCGGTGCCTTACGTCGATCCAGCAATCCGCGCGGACCTCCGGGACGTTATGCTTGCGCAGATAAGATGGGGAGATGAAGCATCGATGGGGGGAGGCGTGCAAAGATGAAGGGGGCGGGATGTGGGGAAAACCGCCGTGCTGTATTTCAAATCGAGCGCCCAACACATGGGCTTAGAGGAAAAACGAACAGCGGGCGAAGAGGGAACGCGGTATTTGGGGGCGGCGTGAGCAGGATAGGTCGGTGATCGGACGTGCTATTTTAATCGAGCGCCCAACGCAAGAGTGTTAGTGAACAGTGATGACGAATCGAAAGAAACAACTGCAGACAACGATGTGAAGGGGAAGGGGGCGGGAGGATGAGTAGGAGAGGAAAATAAACACTGATCCATTCAAAAAGGGCTGGGTAAACGCGACGATAAGGCGACTGAAGCGAGGAAGCAGCGAGGAGGGGGGAAGAGGAGGAGGAGGAGGAATATGATGAGGACAGAAACAGAAGAGCTTGGTTCGTCGGCTTGGTTCGTCGGCGGCGAAACAGAAGAGCTGCGCCAACAGTAAGCGATCGGGGCGACCGAAACGCAAATTGGCCAGCATGCAGGAAGGGGGGGCGACAGAAAGGGCGGCCGCGGAAGGAGGGAAGGGGGCGGAAGGCACTCAGACGCGGAAGAGCTCTACGCTGAACGCGCTGGCGCGGCCAGCACCGGCAGCGGGGGCCGCGGCAGCGGCTGGGCCGCGGCGTCGGTGCGCCCGCGGGCGCTGCCGATGCGCAGTGCGAGGAAGCACGCGTTGAGACGAAAACGGAATCCAGGATTAGGACTGCCAACAGCAAAATGATGTCCCCGCTAGGTGTCGGGCTGGGGTGATGCGCCCTAACGGAGTGCCCGTCGGCTCGGCCACCAGGGAAGGGTTGCGCGCCGGGAGCAGCGGCCAGCGGCGCCATGGCCGCGCGCAAGGGGGGGGGAACAGGCGCAGGGGAGGGGTGGAGACGTGGGAGGAAGGGCGCGCCGCCTCCGGGAAACTCCGGACATGCGGGGCGGAGGCGCCCCAAAGCCCATCTCCGGCGGCGTCCGAGCCAGGCGCGGGGGGCACCGCAGTCGCGCAGCGACGGCGCGTGGGGCTGCGGGCGGGGCGGCGAAACTGGGGCGGGTGAGCTCATGGGGAACCAGGTTCTGGCTCGCCCAGGTGGCGCGGCGCTGGGGGCTGGGCTGGGCTGGCAGCCAGAGGCGGAGAAGGAAGGAGGAACGCCTAGTCGGCGCAGCACCGCGTGGAATCAGGCCACGCGCCGCCCGGGGAGGACAGCGCGCGCGCGCCTAATCGGTGCGTCTTCGTCTGGAGTCGGGCCGCGCGTGGGCCTCGGGGGACAGCGCGTGGCAGAGCTGGAAGCACCCAATCGGTACAACTTCTCGTGCAAACAAGGCCTGCGCATCGCCCTGGGGGGCGGCGCGCAGCCGGGGAAGGTGGCCCACGTGCCGGCGCGGTGGCCAAGGGCAGCGCTGCGCTGGGGTGCGATCCGTCGCGGGACAGCGCCATGGCGTCCGCCCATGGGACGGGCGCGGGTCGCGGGACCTGCTTGCGGTGCCCGGATAGGCGCCTTATGGGCCCGACAAGTCTGGCCGACGTGGCCTTTCCCAATCGTTGTCGGGCCAGGTGGGGTCGGCCTGTCGCTTGCCTTTTCCGCGTGGGCCGCTGCCCTTTCAGTTGCCTGGGCCCTCATCGCGACGGTCCTCGTTGCGACGGCGCTGGCGCTGACGGACTCCACCCCAGTCGATCTCGACCTCCCGGCGCCAACAGTGCCGAGGGATGTCGTGGTGAAAGTGCCCCAGGTCACGGAGGAATGCCTGGCCGGGGTGGCCCCGGCCAGCGGGGTTGTAACAACCTTTTCCCCTTGCTTTTGCCGTCCAGATCGCATTCCATCCCATTCTGTGGCCGCCATTCCCATGGTCCTCTGGCCAGGCCTCCCAGGAGCGGGCCCAGTAGTTCGAAAGTTTGTACCAGTTGATGGATCGGCAGGGCCGCGCATATATGCAGTCGCAAGGGTCGTTTTCATCGACGCAGTCACGGTCGGCGCGTGGGTGCCGGTTTCCTCCCGGTGCTGCTTGGCGCGGCCTGGGTGAGATCTGCTGTGCTAGGACTCGCTCTGGGGTCTGGCTGGTGCTCGGCATCTGGGGCGTCTGCGCCCTGCGGACTGCCAGTGCAGCGGCCTGGTGGGAAGTCAACTTCCAGCGCGGCTGGCGATCGGCGCTCGCTTGCGAGGGGTTCCGGGCGAGCAGCGGCCTAGGTGCCGCCCGCGTTTGCATCTGGGCGCTGGGGGGCCGGGGGGGCAGCTGCTGCGCGTCTTCTGGGAGGGGGGGGGGCGTGGGCACCGTGTCCCGAAAGGCTGGCTCAGCAAGCGGTGCGAGCCCAGCGGGTTGTGCGTTCAGCCGCATAACGGACGCTAAGTCTGCCGCAGTATTGCCCGCCTCTAAATGGAGATTGTCCTGGCTTCCGCTGCTTGGAAAGGGGCTCCGGCCTTCTTTGTGCAGGGCGCAGGCTCCTGGTGGCTCTCCGGCTGGGTTCGGGGTGCTGATCTGGATGGAAGCCTTTTTTTGGCCGTGTAGCGCCCGAAAGTCCTGGCTCGTTCTCCCGTGCTCCTCGCCGAAGCCGTCCCGCGCGGGTAGCCGTGCCTTGTTGAAGGGGTTGCCGAAGCCCAATGCTGCCTCGGAGACGTCACCGGTGGGGCCTGGTTTGGCGTGGGGCGCCCGGAGCGGTCTGGGTTCGCGTGCCAGTGAAATCATGAGGGCTAGGGTGCTGGTGGCCCAGGTGGTGCTGGGGGGACCTCCGTCGGGGCCCTTCAGCGCGTCTCGAAACTTGCAGGGGCGGCCGTCTGGGGGCTGCATGAGCGCGCGTAGGTACTCGACGGTGGGCCGGCCTTGATGGCGCGTGTACTCGCGCGTGATCTTGCTCCGAGCCGCTGGCGGATGCTTGGAAATGCGTGGCGCAAGATTCTCGCTTCTGCGCCGGCTGGTTGCTGCCTCTGGGTTGTGTCGGCCCTGGTGGAAGTCTGTCCTCTGGGATTTCCTCGGCCTGGTCGGTGCTCGTCTGGGGCCGGCAGGCTGCGGGGGGCGTGTCCAGGTGGCTGCGTAGACGTAGCTGGTCGGGCCAAGGCCGAGCGCAAAGTCGTAGAGGAAGCCGTCGTCGCTGACGAGCTTTCGGCAGTGCTCGTGTAAGTCGACTGGGGCGTCTCCGGGGTCGTGGACGCGCGGGGGCAAATTGCGCGCATGATAAAAGACTGGGGCCAGCGCTGGGTCCATGGGCAGGTCGGCGCCTTCTGCCTGGATGTCGCAGCAAGCCGCTCCTAGTTGAGTTCGCATAGGGGCGAGCAGAAGGACGTGCTCTCGAACTCCAGGGCACGCTGGTTCTGAACCTTGCGCAGCTTCTTCTCCTGGGCGCCCCTCGCGCGCCCCGCCTCGATTCGAACTTCCTCCTCTGGGGTTGTGTCGTCCTCGGCCCCGCTGCGCTGCAGCCGGCGGGATCGAAATCGGGGTTTGATTTATTTTAGCCCCTGCCTCGCCCGTGAACTGGGCCCGTAGTGCGTCGGCCACTGCCCGCTCCGCCAGGATGTTCTTCTGCGAGTCTGTGGCAGACCTGTGCATGTGCCCGTTCATGACCGCAATGATTCCTTCCTGGGCTCGGGTGGGGCCCATGTGGCTACTGCGCGGGCCGTCCATGGAGCCGCGCTGATCGTGCTCTTTGGCCAGAGTCTTGCACGTGGGAACTGGGGCGGCTTCGTCTCACTGGCTGCAATCGACGGCTTCGAGCGCGGTGAATCCTTTCTCGAAAAGTCTCGGATGCCGACCCTCAAGACCAGAGGAGACTAGGCTGAAGCCATTGGAAGAAGTTGGTGACCTGCCGGTCGGCCCTTTTCCCTAACCTGCCTTTCCTCCCAAGTCGCGGGGTGCCAGGTCGAATGGGTCCGCGTGGGCCTGGTGGCGTGCGTCTTTTCGGCTTGCTGCGTCCTTGCCGTTCGTCTCGCCATTGTTCTGCTAATAGCATTGCAGAAAGGTTTGGGGCGCTGATGGGCCAGCCCCTTCTCATGGAGACTGGCTGCGTCTTGTTCCCGCAGAATGCCAGGACTTGCTTGTTGTGCTCCGGCGGCCATGACTAGGTCGCGCGCTGTTGCGGCCTGTCTTAATTAGGCGCATCCCTCGGCTAGAACCTCGGTTGACATCTTGTGCGCCAGGGGCGCGCGTGTGTGGTCGCCTGATGGCGGTGCCTATGGCGAGCTGCCCGTCGGCGCGTCTATCGTCGAGGTGCCCCTGGTCGGCGTCGGCCTGGGGCAGTGGCCCGGCCAAGCGCCAGGGGAGGCCCTGGATCGGGAGCTCTTGCGCCGCAGGGTTGCTCAGCCCGGATGCGAGCTTGCCTTCGTGGAAACAATGGGATGGCCACTGTGTGATACTGGGGTGCATGCGGTAGCAGTGGTCCAGTACTACGTTAAAGGCTGGGCTATCTCTTAGGAAATCGGGGAAGCGCTTCAGCACGGAGAGAGACATGCCCATCGCAGAGGCCTGGTCTGGGATTACTTTGGGGTTGACCACCAGCATTAGTGATATGATGGCCAGGGCCTCTGTGGCCTGTCTTGCCTCGTCCAGGATGCCCACTGGCATGTTGGGGCAATCTGGGTCGACCAGGTCTGCGGCTAGCTCGTGTGTGGCCAGTGTGTGTTTGGCAGCTGTAGTGAGTTCTTTCTTGAACTTGGCGTAAGGTTTCCGGCCCCCTTCGGGCCTTAGGTGATGGTATCCTCTGTCGCGCATGAAACATTCCGCTGGGGTGACAACTTTGGTCTCTGGGTTGGTCACCTTGTCGTCTCGTGCCAGTCGGACGGCCGGCTCTGGGAAACCTGAGTTGCTCCTGCTGGGAAGGTAGCTTCCTTGTCCCTGACGTCTGCGGTGCGGAAGAACAGGGTGTACGGTATTACCGAGAGGGCCGTCCCCCATAGGGGCTCTGGGTAAAGTGTAGCATAAACGTGTCCTGGACGGCGGCCCGCACCCTGTAGCTCTGCATCAGTGGCGGCGTGCGAACGACGCGATACCAAAGGGTCGGTGTGCCCCTGTGGCATGTCTGCGGTTGTGTTGGGTGGGTGGAAGTCTTTGCCTTTCTTGGCGTCGAAAAAAGCGATATGCTGTTGGTCGGGAAGCGGTTGGTCCGGTGCTCCTGGGCTGGGCCGCCAGGGCAGGGTGGCCATGCAGCCTTGACCTCTGCCACCTGGGCGGTGACGGGAGACTTGTTCGACACGATCAGTGAAAGATCAGTGATATCTTCACTGGTCCCATCCAGGTGAAGCGTCGGACTCCCACGTTAGGATGTAGTGCTCCCATTCCCTGTTCTTGTGGTCCGTGATCGAACGCCCAGCAGGCTGGGGGAAAGCGCCCAGCAGGCTGGGGGAAAGCAGAGATGAGGCGAAAAGTCACCGAGGATACAGCCAGAGGGCGTGTAGGGCGGTGAATCGGACGTAGGAGAGGAGCAGCAGTGCTCTGGTCAGAACGAGTGCCCACCACATGATGTTCCTTCTTCTAGGGTGGAGAAGAGAAGAGGAGACGGAACGCAATCAAGAAGACAGCGATGGGGAAAGAGAGAGGTATGGGAGAAGGAGAAGGATGGGATGGGAGAAGAATGATAATATCAATGCTCTATTACATTCGAACCTCCGAATCAAGAAGGTTGAGGAATAACGAAGAAACGTGCGAAGCGGAAACGAAGATGCCTTGAAAAGGAGGGGTAAAAAAGAAAAACATAATCGACGATGCAGTATTCAAATCCGGAATCAAATCCGGGAGAGCTGGGGGAAAACGACTATGAGGCGAAGAGGAGGCGAGGCAACGAGGAGGAAGGGAGGAGAGGAACAGCAGTGCTAGTTGAATGAGGGCATGGGAAAAGCGAAGATGAGGCGAACAGAAAGCGAGGAGGATGGGAGGAGGGGGGGGGAGAGGACACCGCGAGGAGGAAAGGGGCGGGATGGGGAGGGAAGCGACCGCGGGGGCGCCGCCATGGTGGCCGCTGCCGCGGTGGCTGCCGCCCGAGCGCAGGCCTGCCGCCGGCATGAGCTCCGCCTGCCCATGGCTGACGAGGAGGGCGGCGGCGGCGGCGGAAACGACGGCGGCCACGCAAGGCCCACGGCGACGGCGGCAGGGAGGAGGAGGGAACCCAAGACACATCAACAATGATGCCGCAATGCGCCCTCACTTCCCGGGTCCCCTCCCCACGAGTCGCTGCAACCCCCCCTCTCCGCTACAAGAAGCGCCCGCTTGGAAGACCAGCGCCCGATGGGCCTGCCACTCAGGCCACGGCTCCGTTCTGAAAAGGCAGGGCCTCGCATCCTGCTGGCTAGCACGTAATCGGATACTCGACACGCATGGTACTATAACCCCGCGATATGCCAAACACTATCACCGTTTTGAAAAGAAAGATGGGCCCCATCCGCGTAGCTGTTGCGCAACTTGATTTGCAAAGTCATGCGGCGGCGATTGCGATGAGTGTTTGGGGTTGAGTGGTGCATCTCTGCGGCCGCGCTAGCCCGCGAGTGCTCGCGCGCGCAGCGGCGAGCTAGTTTGGCTCCGACCGACGTGCCCGTGGTGGCGCTGACCACTGGGCAATTTTTCCAGCGGGCACTTCAATGCGAGTCGGTGATTTGGGCGGACACAATATCATGGCGACGACGACGCCGGTAGCAACGATTATGAGAGTAGCGATGATGGTGACGGTGGTGGCGATGACGACGGCAAGACCAATGACGGCGCCGATGTTGACAACGCCCGCCGATAACGATGACGATGTCCTCGCGTCGGCGATGAAGGCTTTTGAAAGAGTTAGACATGCGCGCGCGGCCGACGCGCGCGAGTGGCCCGCGTGGTGTGCAACTCGCCTGGGCGTCGTTTCTGGATGGGCTAGTGGGATTACGCGAACTGTCTAGAATTACAATGGAGGCCAGTCCACAAGAAACCGTCCAGAAACCCAGACCCGAGACCCCAGGACGTCTATGGGTTTTTGGCGCGGGAACGCCACGCTTTCCATCGCAGAACCCTCGCAAAACCCACAGACAAACCCAAGGCACCCTGGAGGCGAGCAGGGCGTTTTTTCTTGGCATGGGCCCCCACCGCAAGGGCCCGTCCGACCGAGAACCGCCGAGGACCTCCGAAGACCGACCCGCGGCCGACGGCGCCGACGGCCCCGACGACGGCCAACGACGCCCCTCGACCCCGCCGCGCGGCCGGGTGCCTGGAGGCCTCTCCAGCCCTCGGGGGCGCGCGCGCAGACACGGATTAGCGATCCCTGGATGTGGCGCGCGGTCGCTAAGCCCATGGATCGTTTTATTTGTTTTGTTGGTTGTTTTTTGTTTTTATTTTTGTTTTGTTTTGTTTGAATATATATTTCTATTATTGTTTTGCCAACGACGGCCATGCTTGGTTAATAGATCCTCTGGTGTGATGTGGTCTGATCACAACGAAAGCGGCCTGGTTAATATATCCCATGGATCGGGGGAGGCGCCCTCCCCCCGAATGCGGCCGGCGCCGCCTCGCTCGGCGGCGAGATCCGCGACTTCCACGGAGACGGGACCCGTCGCCAGTGTGAGCGTTTTTTTGTTTATTCGGCGGCTCGGCATTGGGCGGCAAGGGGGGAGGGGAGGGGGGGTCTGGCTCCAGACCTATGCTTGAGGCGACTGTTTGCAAGAGTGCGGCCTCTGAGAGAGACTCCGCCTGCTCGAAACAGGCGCCAAAAACAGCCAAGATCTACTCCATGGGGGGGGAGGGGGGGTGCGACGGCCCACGCCGATCGGCAAAACAATTAATAAAACAGCGATCGCACTCCACGCCCCCTTGATCCATGTTTGCGATCGCCTGAAAGAGGGAGAAGAGGGGGGGAGGAGGAGGAGGAGGAGGAGGAGGAGGAGGAGGAGGAGGAGGGGCCCCGAGGGGGCCCCTCCCGTAGGGGAGGGGTCGGGACCCCAGGGTCCTCCT